AGAGTATGAGAGTATCATGACTAGTCTTAATACTGGTCTGCAATTGCATTGCAACCATCTTTCTGTGTCTCCCATCAAAATAGGGTAAGGCTATGTAAAACACACAATAAAATTCCTATGCATTTTGCAAAATGAATTCCCATTTAAAGAAATTGTGTTCTAAATGAGATAAAACTCCTTAAAATGAACAGCATGTACTTCTCTCAGTAGTACCTGTGCTTTCCTAACCATCACAGTGTCTCTGTAGCTTCCATTCCAGACTGTATGAGTTGCAACAATACATTGCCACTATACATCTGCCCTTTTTGGAGATTTGAACATGTATCTGAGAGATATAAACACTGGCTAATGGTTTCTAGCTATCCCTGATTAAACCCAATCAAGTATTCCTGTTAATTCTATTAATATCTAAAATTATTATGGAAAAAGATTACCCACACCTGAAGTTAAAAGAGGACAGTTAATCAGCATTAAGGTCAGGCCTTTACAGGTTCTGAAAGAACTTTCCCAAGACGCAAGATTATTATGAGATCATATAATTAAAGTCTTTACCATAGAGAATAAATAGAAAGGCAAATCCTTACTGAGCTCTACTATTTGTTAAATTTCTGAGCACTTCATTTCCAAATTTTAAGGTTTTATTACATCTGTTTGGCCTAACATGATTTTCTTGTTTTTATGGTTGGGTGAATGGTTGGGGGATGTTTTTGTGCAAAGAAGAAAGAAAGGGCTACGTTTATTTTTAAAAGGAAAATTAAAAATCTGTATTAGGAAAAAGTACTTTCTCTCTGATTAGTAATTAGCAATGAACTGAAAGGGTGAATACTGAATACTTTCACTTCATGGTGTTCCATTTTAATTAGGAGCAAGAGGTCAGTGATTTCATCCTTCTGCCAAGGCAAGTAAGAACAAAGAAATATGTTATAGCCACATATAAATGAAAAAAATCATGTTAACCCTTAAGAACGATAAATACTGCACTATTCACTTCTCATCAATAGCACGAAAATACAGAACACTTAAGAGTACATCAACATTTCAGCACTAAAACCATGTTCAAATTCACAATGCTTTCTAAAAATGTTCATTTAAACAAGATATTTCTATCTCTAGTGTAATTTAAAAATATAAAAGCAAAAGTTTAGCTGAAAAGAAGTCTTCCGACATTTCAGTAGTGAAAATTTCTTAGGTGATCCCAGACATCTTTTCAGAACTATTTTCTAACCATATAAGATGAAAATATACTAAATTAATAAAATCTAAAGCAAAACCCAAACTGCCTAGATGCGAAGCTATAGCCTGGGTAGACAAGCTAATGACATGTATTTCAGAAATACTCAATTAATCTTCTTAACAGGCAAATCTGATCCTGCAATAAACACAGCAGTGGCCACCTAAGGAATTAGCAAAAATATCATAATGATAAAAGGCTGTAAATGCAACATAACTTAGGATATTGTGTGTTCTACTGAGCATGTAGGACACTGATAAAAATATGTTTGGGTCAGTGTACCAAAGATAGGAATGGTCCTTCATAGCTGCTCCCAGGTAGCTTTCTTGAAAGCAAACATTTTGGGCTATTTTGAAATAAAGTATTCAAGAGGCACCTTCATGTCCTGGAGCAAAAACTCCCAACCACATAATACAGTTCATAGAACTAAATCTAACCCAAATCAGTGGTTTTTAATTCTGATCCTAACTTGGAAAGCAATTACCCAAAGGGTTGGTTGAGTTTTTCCCCTGTAGATCCCTTCCCTTCCATAGTCACACAGCCATAAACACACCATATTGCACCTTCTAGTGAGTCCTGCCCTATAATAAAAAAAATATCTCCAATAGCAAATTACTCCCTTCTTTCTACTTGAGTTCTGGCATTTGTACTACATTTAAAGAAAAAGTATGAAGATACAACCTTATAAGAAACACAGATTGCTCAAATGTATGCAAACTAAATGAGACCACTGTAGGAGTCTGCAACAGATAAGTTTTCCTTTGTCCTTTTTCTCTTTTACAAAGCTGAGATGACTTCCAATCCATCGTTGCCTATAAGGTACCTTTTACTAACTCTTTTCACCAGTTTGATTTTAAATAATTGTAGTCAATAGTAAGATCCTTGATTTCAAAATACAGAAAGTTTAACCTTCAAAGCATGTTTCCATGCAATATAGAAATACCTCTCTCTTTTGAGTCCAGTATGTGTTCTGTAAGAGCAGAAAGGACTACTCTGTGACAACATATTCTGGTATGGTCATATAGCTTTCCCAACAACACACAAGAGTTTTGATTATCACCGGGGCTTAAAAAAGGCATCGAAACCTACTCAAATATCTACAAAACTTTCAGGCTTATTGATGCTATATTTGTTAAATACTAACATAAATTCCTTTTAGGATAGTCAGTGTTTCCAATTCTATTAAACTTCAGTTTTTGTAACTGGTAATTCATTTGCCTAAAATAACTTCCTGTAAAATTCAATTCTCCACAGTAAAAAGACTGCTATTAATCTTAATTATGTTCTGTCACTGAATGAAGTTAGGTAATCTGCTGTTCCTGCAGAGCACTACCCTTTTTAAAGAAAATTATTACTCCCTTTAAAGAAAATGATTAGAAAATCCTAAAGAAGGACAGAAAAAGCCTCAAAGAAGAACTCTATTGGTATTTGAAAATGAACTCTTAATTCATGACAGAAAATTACACAGAATGCTCTATGAAAGCTGTACCTATGGATTAGGTTTACCATCTTTCTATGTGTAAATTCAATATAAAATTTGTCTAGTTACTGTATCTTGAGTCACTTATGATGCTTTGATTGTATATTAGAACTTCAAAATCTGTGGATCTGGAAATTTTCCATAACCCAGATTTTCCAAAGTACTACCTTTTTCAAAAGACAAATAAAAGGAACATATTACTCAGTTTTCAAGCATTCCTCAAATCCTAGCAGTACTTACCAGAGGAAACAATTCTAGCATTCCTATAAAAATAATTATTTTCTTGTATTTATTAAATTTCTCTCTATAAAATCTATGATATAAATAATAAATAAGACTGTTACCCTCTCTAATCAAACACAGTAAAATTATACAGTACTTCACAATTGCTGCTCTGAGGAGCTCACAGCCTAAATAGATATACTAAGGAAAGAGCAGGGAAGAGTGGAAAAACATAAAAGTATATACAGCAATGACAGCAAACGTCATGGGATTAGATGTGATTATTTCCTGGAATGTCTATACTGTATTTCATATAAGCAATTCACAACACATAAGACAAAAAAGAAATTAATATAATAGATTGATGATCCGAGAAAACAAGAGTTCTTTTTCCATAAAGTTTTGTTTCCAAAATGGAAATAAATACTGTAAACATTGGAAATATTAAATTAAAAAGTCTGATGAGACAAACACAATAATACTACATAAAGACCCTCAGTGGTATAACCAAGGACTGCAATTGATATCTTGTGGCTTGCTATTAAACAAATTAAATGGTTTTAATAGTATAAAATATATTTTATAAAATGTATTTTATAAAATATATTATGAAATATAATATAAAATATAACAATATATAAAAATAGATAATTCTAAAGTCTATAAAATAGATTTTATTGGAAGCAAAAATATTTTAACTTTTTGAAAGACTATCTCAATTCAATAATTTTTTCCCATATTATTTGCAAATTACCTACTAATTCAGCATCTGTGTCACACTATAAAATATTTGCAATAAAAACCTTATTCTGATTAAATATGTGGCTAACATAAAACATGCCAAATAGCCTCCAATGTTTATATTTAAACCTGTGCCTGAATATCTGCTAATCCTGGAAATGTACATACATTAACTGCTGAAATGCGCTTATTTGCCATAGGGTAAATTCTAGATTTTTAAAAATGGGTGCATGTCTAGGTACTTTTCTAATGACAATCACGTTTAGACAGTATTGTTTATATAGTCTCTTTTTTTTCATGTATAATCCTGTAAAATTTATGAACCACAGGTCTAAAAAATAAAGACTAAATCATAATGACAATAATTCTGACTATGTCTGTGCAATCAAGTAACATCAATTGCAGTTGGGTTTGTTTTTCCCTATGCAGCCTCTGAAAAAAGGATTTTAGGTGAAAAACAAGCCCTTCTTTATGTACAGACCTTCATAAGATTCTATCTCCTTGTCTCCATTGTCTACGGAAAGTCACAAAACAAAACAAACAAACAGAAACAAAAAAAAAAAGGAACCAAAGCACAGGGGTTAAAAATAACAGAAGTTTTTTAAAAGATACAATATACATGTTAAGAAGGATTAAAAAAAAAAGGAGTAAATGGCCATTTAGACTGATTTTGCACGGCACATCTAGTTACTACAAATAGAAAGGTGAAAATGTCTTTGCTGTCAAAAATAAGTTTATATACCTCTGTTCCTAAACATTTTGGAAAATATCTTCATCAATCAGTGCTTTTAATAGGCCTTAAAGATAAGCACAATTACAGTACCAGTAAAACATAAATCATGAAATACCTGACATTTCTTATTTTAAAGATTATTACCTGTCTTCTTGCTCTTCCTGTTTCAAGATGCAGAGGTTTTATATTAGCAATCTGTAATACACTCCATGTGAGCCCACATGTGATCAGCTAGGTTCCTGACTCCCAAAAGAGCCAGAATTTTGTCACTAGACAACATACTAAAGATAATTTCCTGTGCCCGTTGAAGTCAATGACAAAACCCCTACTGAATTCCAAAGGAACAGGATCATGCTAATAGTCCACTTTATTTCGTGTCCATTATACTGCTGACTTTTCATGCCAAGAGTATTGTAGATATTAAAACATAATAGAAGAAAACACAGTACAAAATGCAATACCGTGACCAAATCCCAACTCTGTACACAAAAACTCAAGAGATTTCAACTGCAATGGTAAAAGAACAATAATAAATATAATCGACCTTTGTGAGCAATTTGGTAACGTCATTAGGGAGAAAACCATGCACTTACTTCTCTCCAACGTCCCCTTTGGTGGGAGCTGTGGTAACTGCCTGCCCCTTCGCCCTACTACTGGAGTACTTGATGGACTTGTCTGGACAGACCCAGTTCGAGGATGTGACCTAAGAGACACATATCAAAACAAACCACAGCCATTAAATGACAAAGTAATTCTTAAATATCATCCAGAACGGATAACGTTACTAAGTAGACTTTACAACACTTGGGACCCTTGCAGTCCCATAGGGAAACTATCATCTCTTTTCAGAAAAAGACCTGATTAAAAAGAGAATTTTTCCCATTAAATGGAAGCCAAATTAAGGCTGAGGATGCTTCCATAAGCTGCTTCCATAAGATACTTTTTCACACAGTTAAGCCAGAAAACGTGTCGTGTACATATTCATGTGCATATGGATATAATAGCCACATACACATAAATTTAGTCACAAGTCAAATTCAATTATCTTTGCTCAGCTTGTATTTTCTTAAATTACCTTGGAGTTGCAGTGAGATCACACGAATTTGTCTGAACGGAGTAATGAACTGAGGAAAGACAATGATATTTGACTCAATTCTCACTGGGGATTTGATGATACTAATTCTAACTCTCAGAAAACAAAAGAAAGTATTCTGCAGTTCTAAAATAAAGAGATGCTTTCCTGAACATGATCTAGACCAAAATGTGCTCATCTTTTTATTGTATTATGCTTGTTTAAGCTAAGAATAATGTATAGAAATCCTCAAAATATCAATCAGGGGTACTCAAACAGGAACAGTACAGACTATGGCACAGTAAAATGTAGTCAGAAAAAATGGTGGTTAAAATGATAAGTAATAGACAAAGTTAGTACAGTGCATCTAAAGAAACTTTTTTTTTAAAAAAAAAATAGTTTCATTTGATGTTATGATGGTTGTTCCATAAGCCATGTCTGATGAACACAAATAATTTCTCATTCTGTAAGAGAAGAATATGATAGTTATGAGGTGCTTTATGTGGAAACCATCCAGGATTCCTGACAAATGAGAAATCAATAAACAAATGTAGTTAAATACTGTTAGCAAGCAATTTGCAATGGTAGCCACACCATTATATCCAGAGTAGAATATAAATAGTGTGTTCACACTGAAAGGGTTAGTATCTATTGCTGCTAGTGATCAGCTAAGGATGAGGCGATACCAATTAGCTACTGGGAAAATAAAATGGTGAGCTGGTGGGGCAGAAGGGGTTTAGTCCGATTGATTTGTCTGTTTCACCTCGGTAAGGCAGGTGAAGGAGGGGCAGATCTTCCAGTCATTAATGAAGGCATCGACCTGATGAGGTTTGAGTCAGGACGCTCTGTGGATCGGGAGCGGGAGTTGGTCCGCTCTAGCACAGGACGTTGCTCTGTTGATCGGGATCTTTGATATGGCTGTCTATCTGCTGCTTCACAATTCCTGTAATGTTAGTCAAAAAGCAGCTCAGTTGAACTTTGACTTTTCTATTAATTATAATATATGCTGCATGATACTGGTTTGGAGCAAATCATTTTGTTATATACATTTTTAGGGGGAATAAATTTTCTGAGATAACTTCTTGATAACGTACAGGTTTTTTTACATGTACGATTTGACTTGCTCCATACTCTTGATAAATGGGCTGAAATGTTTCCAATGTCTCAGTAATGACTATCCATGCAATAGTCTGTTTCCTGACAATCTCTAGGTTAAAATATTGTTATTTTGTCAATTAATATATCAACCTGGGAATAAAAGAGTAGCTGACATAATATTAAGTCTCAATAAAGCTAAGAACTTGTTAATTGTGCAGTTTAATTATGCAATATTCCTCATATGAATAGATTTTTACAGATTTTTTACAGATTGAATTCTCTCTAGAGGTAACACCCTTGTTTGTAGGAAAGTCCACAATCTAGATGTTATAATTACCATGTAGCACTGTTAAATGTTATTAGACTTGGGGATGTCTATTATATATAGGATAGGCTACAGTGATAGATTCATATGTGGTGCTCAGACTGCAATCACATGAAAATCTACATCATTAGTACTTACAGAGTTTCCAACAACTAGAAAAAATTGGTTTGTAATTAAAAAATTATTTTAACCCACAGCCTATGGAATTGTACCAAAACAGCAGTGGAAAAAGTTATTGTTAGAGATGCATTGGAAAGAAATTAGACTGAGTAAAAAAGAATTTCTTGATCAAGCAGTGATATCTTCTACTATCTTAGGCAATTAATCAGGCCATTACTTTCAGAAATTAATCAAGCTCCACCTTTTTTCCCAATGTAATTGGTCTGTTTTCAAGGAGTAATATTTGCTAGCAATATCCTCAAATACATTAAATCAAGGCTATTTAAAAAGTAAAATCCATACCCTAATGGAGTTATTTATTAAAATTACACTGCTCTCAGCTCTCCTTGAGTAACTGAACAGATACAGAATACAAATGGGGAATGTGTACCCTTCAGGACTTTTCCTTGAGCGAAGTCATGCATTTTACAATGAAGTCAGTTAATACAATGAGTGGCTTGATGGTGATTAAGTGTAACAAGAAGTCAAATTTTAATTAGTGTCAAAAAAGAGAGAGACATACCACAGCCTTATTATGAAGACTTTTATGTTAGTAACAGCATTTTATTTCTAAAAGCATTGAAAAAGAGTATAGTGGCTGACTTTGCTGAATGCATTTATTAAACATTCATTAAAAGCAGTCTTTTCAGGCCTTCCATGAGGTCATAATTGGACTCCTAGAGTATATGAAGGACTTGCCACAGACAGATTCAGAATAATACCATACATCATGAGCCTACATCTATAAGCTCCTAACAAGCAAACACACCACAGTGAGACACACAAATGGTAATTATAAGCTGAGGCACTAAAGATTGTTGGAAAAGTACAATGAGCCTGGCACAAAACCACAATAAATTTACCTCACTTGTTCTTCTATCAGTTCTGTTTCTGAATGGGAAGCTTCATCAGCAAAAACATCCACTGTCTCGCTTCTTTTACGGTAGACAGAGAAACACAACCTTAGCTTTGATAGGAATGTTTAGTTTAAGTAAATGTTTAAGAGAGGTTTCAGTGTTATGGAAGGTGAGAAAAATGTCACCCATCTGCATGATGGCAAGAAATGACCATAGAATACATTTTTTGACTATGGGAATAAAGTCCAAGAAAAAATATTCCTAAATCCAACAAAATTACAAAAAAGAATAATATCCAGGTCTTGAAAAACCCACACTTATCTCGTTTTTACACATATTTAAGAATATTAATGAGCCCACAGAGACTTTTTTGGGTCTGTCAGGATTTCTCCTGTCAGTGAGTGGAGGACCACTGGAGCACCAGCAGAAGGGACTGGGCAATATGGTAAAGGTATCTCTCCATACTCTATTTCTCTCTCCTTCCAACAGCCAGTAGGGCACAGAGAGGAACAGGAAAGTGGCAACCACATGCTTCTCATAAAGACTTCATGAGAAGATAAAGGTATAAAAATTAGTTTTTAGGATATTAGTGGTCTGACCTATTGACTGATTAGAAGGAAGGAGACATTGGGATCAATACTAATGGCTGAGTGGGCAGGTTTTGTGTTCTGCAGAACATCACAGAGCAACTGTAGCTAACCACTATGCTAACAGATAAAGGCCTCAAAATGTCATACTCAGCAGCTAATATAAAGTTTAATACAATCTCCAGTGAGCATTTACTTCAAGTGGAAAAACAACCAGGAGCTCCCCAAAGTGAAGGAGAGGGTGGATTTTGGCAGTAAACTTTTGATACTTTTTGGTTTGTAGACTGAAGGATTTGGAGACTAAGTTGAGTCCTAAGGTTAAACTGATTGTCACCTTCAGATTCCAGGCTACAGGCTGCAATCCTTTCAATAACCAATACAGCAAATGGAGGGCTGTTTCAAGGGGACAGTCTTGAAAGCTTCACTTTGTGGCTTTACATCATACACATATAAAGAGCAATTCCAGAAATAGTTTTATTCTCTGATCTTCATCCTCACTTATTCTTTTATCCTTTTAACAGTAAACACATGTACTACATGATCCCAGTCTTCAGCAACTGCCACTTTTATAGGAAAACTATCATTCTGATAACCTGCTTGTGCAGTGACACTCCTTGCTTACCACTGTATACAATTATGCATGAATATCAAAATCCAGCCATAATTATGGAAGTTAAATTAAAAATGGAAGTTTCTAACTTTTCAGATATCATTCTTAAAGACTTCTGCTTACAAATTATCTAGATGAAACTTTCTTCTTTTCTTATTACAAATCATATCATATGAATTACTGATGTTTAAAGAGGGAAATACGGTAGTCTTAGTTAAACTATTCGCTATCCATACAACATTTTAATGTACATTAGCACTATTTACCTTTGCTAACAGACTTTTCATTATGAGAATACAATTAACAAAATGTCAAATAATGACCTCCTCCATCTAGTACTGCCTATTGTCTCACTCTTCTACTTTTGCTAGGGAAAACAGGCACATTAGATGGCTGATTTCCTTTCCAAAGTCTGGAAGCCTTGTGCTTGCATAACTCTCCTTTACTCTGAGGAAAAGGTACAGCAGTGTTTGCTTTTAAACGAAGAAAGCTGATCACTATGAGACTGTTTGAGCTCTCTGTAAGTCACTGCACAGAAAGCTCTGAGAGTATTCACTGTCTAACTTGTTATTCCAAACCCATCAAGTATTAGAATCTAATATCATTTAGGTACCACTGTAAACCCTAGCTGCTGTAGTACCTAAACAAAGGTGCTACCAAATATTCTTTTATATACTGGTTTATCTGCATTTATATATATACACATAAATATATATACATACATATATATATATACTACAAATTTCAAATGTGAACTTTTTTCCCAATGCAGTGAATAAGACTTTCTGATTTTTAATTTTTCAGATTTGTTACTTTTCCTAACAAATAAAAAGAATTTTCAACAAATTGTTATAGTCATTGATCTAAACTTATGGATAGAGAAATCTTTATAAAAGATTAACATTTTCCAACAGTAAGCAATTGTAACAGCTTACATTACAAATAGAACTGATTATTTTCCCAAAATGACTGAAAATTATTTATTTAAAGGCCCATGTTAAATTCTTTTACTCTGTACAAACGATGAGATCATGCCAATCGTCGTTTTAGAATTAGGTTTTTCTTGTAACAAAAAACTGAAGAAATAAAAATAGAATTGTTGTACGACTACAGGACTACACTACAATTCAGCTCCTACTGCATGTTTTTCATCTAGAAACACTGAACAGAACAAGAAAAATACAACAACACACTTTCTAAGTATCATAATTTCAAACTCCAGCTAATATACAATGGCAATACCTGTCAGTGTCTGTGGATGGTTGCTGGATTTCAATCCTTGGACATATTATTCTTCTACTAGCTATAGGAACTTTGCTGTTTAGTCACAGACACAAGATCCTCTGTTAGCATAACATAGATAAGCATGGCTACAAACAAATGAGATTTCTAGTACCAAAAAACTTAAATTTGAGTCATAAATATTGCAGTGAAAAATGGGAAGGAGCAAGTACACTGTCAAATCTCTAGAAAAACTGGTGATAGGATATCTCAACAAATAACTCATCTATACTCATAAAGGAAAGCTCATCTATACTCATAAAGGAACTTAATATAAAATTATAACATAAGTGCTGCTGTAGTTTTTAAAAGACAAGAACGTAAAGCTTTTAGGTACTCCAGTTAAACAAAAAAGTAAAGCAAGATATTTTGGTTGCTGTAATACTCTATAATGTTTTTATATGCTGTATATAGAATGCCGTAGCATTCTATAATGTATACATACACACATACACATATATATGTAATATATATAGGTATACATGTATCCATACACTGATATGATCTAGTCACATACATATTAACCTCTGTGGTATATGTGATAACTACCAGTATATCTCCATGCCAGTGACAGGCATGATAAAACTGTAACATGCCACAGTCTGAGCCATTCTACTAACTCAGCTCAGCAGACAAAGCAGGGAGCTCTGCTATCATCCCAGGCACGATGTGCTCCCCACTCCTGTGTTCTGCTGCAGCTACAGAAATGCAATTTCTCAGTTTGCTCGGGTTCCTGGACATGGCACTTTGGTGACTGCTGTTGACATAGCTAACCATGCTAACACATGGCATGGTACAATTATAAACATGTTTAAGGAAAGCATGTATATATATACACCTGCTGAGATTTACTCTCCAAAATATGTGTCATCACTGATATATTTGCTGAGGAATAGCAAGGTCATACTTCACCCAGGGAGTTGGAGCGGACGTTTTTTTCCAACCCAGATTACTTTATGACTCTGTGGATGCATTTAGAGGTTTATACTAGCTATTAAAATCAAATATCAATAAAACCAATAAGTAATGTAAATCCTGGAACAATTAAGACTGAAATGATGTGCATTTCATTTCATTTTTATATGAAAAAAGTTTTAGATTGTTTTTACTTTATTGCTTTTGGCACTTGCAATGTACCTTTCCACTTATATAGCCAGTTGCCCTATATAGTATCTTATATAGGGTCTTGTATTTTGCCAACTACTTCTATCTTTCAACACCTTTAACACAGACCATCAACTGGCACATATAAAAGAATCACCCTGGAGGAATCCACATCTCTATGCTCATGAGATGACTCACTGAAGATCATGATAAAGCTGATTAGGATTCACAAGCTGGGAATTCAAAATTCTCAAAGATGAGAGCTGAAATTCTCTCTTATTCTTCACCCCAGCTCAGTTTCATAACTGAACCTACTGCAGTGATTCTCTCCAGATAATAATCAAAACTTCCATTAAAGTACTGGAAATATTCCAAAATATAACACTTTCAGCATTATATTATAAGTTTATTCCACAGTTTTTTCCCGTTTGGAACACAATATTTCACCCACCCAACTTGAATATTATACCATAATGTATGAGCAAAACCAGGAACCAGGTTTTAATTAACATGTCTCATGACTGAAGTATAGTGGTATATAAGACAATGCACAAAAGATTTTGAGAGGGAAGCAATGAAAAAGAAGAATTTCCTAGTAGAGCTTGAATGTTCAAATGTATTTCAGCAGAGCACCTAGACTATAGAATAATCAATTAAAGTAGTTGTAGGCTTAAAACTAAGCATGCACTTAAACCTTTTTAAAGTGCAGTATTAAATGCAAAATATGAAAAGTACTTGGTTCTTGATGGATTTTGTGGGATTCTTTTCCTCAGATCTTAAATGTAATTTCATTTCTATATAGCACATATACATAGTTGGTTTTGTTTCTTTTTCAGTGACATTTTCAAACACCAATAATATGGCAGATGTTTAAATAGTAAATTACCACAACCAGAGTTGTAACTATGCAGTTACTGTGTATACATACTGCAGCTACATGTTCATCTTCTTAACTATTGGCAACAGACCTGTAATTCTGACCTCTCTGACTTCAAGTGTTTTGTCTCTTGATGAGACTAAGATTTCAAAGAGATCGTTTGAACGGGAACAGGTATGTAAGACTTTATTATCTTTTAAGTTCTTAAATTATGAATGAGTAAAATAGAATTCAGTTTCCATTACAGACATTTTCTAAATCTATTGATCTGTACAGAATCTGATCCATTTCAGCAGTCTTTATTCTACTAAAGTGTTTTCTATTGCTTATGTTTAACTTAAACGTCATTATGGTTCACAACAAATTATTTTATTTTTTCTTTCATTTGCTAAACATTTTTGGAGCTAAATTTAAATGGAGACAGAGAGTAGTAACTAATAAATTTCTTTTTCATGTTAAAAATACATTTTTAGATATTTACCCCTGATATTTACCTGTGTTAGCATATATTAAGGATTAAAAGTAAGAAAAGAGAAGTAAGCCAGGACTATTTCATGTGACCAACAAAAACAAAAGCTTTAGTTACACCAAGCACTTTCCAGCCTTCTTTAAATGTTGTTCATTTTCAGTATGCTTGTGCAGTTTCCAGGATGAAGTAATAAGTATGGCCCTTGCTGTACACTTGAAAATGAAGAGCCAACAAACAGTGGCACTGTGGTTCAAAAAGCTAGAGAAGATATATGGTCTCAAGTCTCTGCAACTGCACTAATGTTTAGCCAAAAGACTCTCACAAATCCCTCCTCTCTAAAGAGAGAAGCCCACATTAAAATATTGGTGGATTCATTCTGGGTTTTATCAGATGTTTTAAGTTTCAATTTAACAGTCTCTTATGTTCTCTGTTTACATTCACGAAGGAAGGAAGCAAAAAACCTGAAAATTCTTGCAAGAGCAATAAGAAAATGAGGGGGAAGCAGTAAAGTCAACGAACTAAAAGCAAGGAAAATTTTTGTGCTTTCTTGATCAGAAGCCAGCTACAACTGGGAAGAACTAAAGATTGTAAGGCACACAGCACTTTTCATGGGGTATGCATCAATCACAAAGGAAGATAGGTTAGACAGATAGAATTGGGATTATTTCTAAAAGTAAAAAAGCATTAGGTCTCAAAGACACCTTTCCCAACACTGCAAATGTAGGTAGGTGTCACTAAAAAAGCCCCTTTTCATTGAAGTGGCCCTGAACAGTGAGAACATGTTTTAAAAATAGTTCAAACATAATTAATTTTCTTTTTCTATTTGTAACTGAATAAAATAAAAAAAATAAAATAATAAATAAAAAATAAAAAAATAAAATAAAAAAATAAAAAATAAAAAAGTTTAATCTTGGAATAAAGACTAGAGTATAAGTGCCTCAGTTCTGAGTCAAGAAAGAAAGACATCAAGAAAAACACATTTATTAGAAATAATTTTGGTACAATTATAAATGAACTCTTATTATAAAGATCCAAAATACATTTTAGTTCTATCTGTAACACTACACTCTTTACTTACCCATATTTTTCAGCTGAACCATTGACTATATCATCTGCCCATGAACTTGCACCATTGTACCACCTTTACAATGCATTAAAATAAAGAAGTGTTATTAAAAAAATTGATGTATTACTATAGGCACTCTAAATCATGTGACATGACCACTTCTCAACAAAATGGGAAGATTTCCAAATATTTTCCAATAATTGCGTACATTTCATATTTTCTTTCAGGTATGAAGAAAACCAACTGTTTCAAAAACAAACACCAAGAAAATTATAGGGCTTTTTTCCATATTCAATTATTATATTTCACCATTAGTCTTTTCAGCAGTTAAGCGATACATTTCAATTCCATGAGGACTAATTGATCCCCAATCTTTTTGTACATAAATGTCTTCATGTTTTCAATGGCTGTTGAGTTTGTGTAGTAATAAAAAAAGAATTGTGGACACAAAACATTAACAAAAATAACATTATATGCACTAATAGTTTAAAATATTGCTTTTAACTTCAAATACATGACCTTTCCAGTTAAAATCTTTGTTTTCTGTTGGATAGGGTAGTTGGTTTCTCACAGGTATATAAGAAACAGAAGAAAATTCACTTCAATGATCAAACAATGAAACCTAATTAAATTTTATAATGGTATTATTCTTCCAGGTACTGAATATGGGCTGCCCAAGAATTTGCAGCATCACTTCAGCAAATCAGTTGAAGACAACATAAAACACCTATAGAAGTATTTTATCTTAAGAAAAACCATCAAGAAAAGAAATAATGGGACAAAAAAACCTGTTTTAAAAAATCAGGAGATAAACTGCTTATGTGCCACTACTCCAATATTTTAAAACTAGATAAAAATCATCCATCATTTGGTTAAGGAGTTTCAACTAAATCTCTGGAGTTCTGTACTTTCAGGTTCTTGCCTAGGGTAAAGCCAGGGAGCTCCTATGTTGTCTTTATTCGATGATTTCCACGTGACAGTGATTGGAAGACAGGGATTATCAGAAAATATCAAGAGATCATCATATAATCAACTTGGACAAAAAAAAAATAATTGATAATATTTAAAATATTAGCCATAGGAAAAGGGAAGTTTTTCCATAAAGGGAAAGCTTTTCAATGGCTTGAATATATTGATTCAAAAATTTTCATGAATCTATTCCTGGGAATCACAGCAGTATTTTTTGCTTGTCTGCCTTTTCTCACACACAGAATCTGAGGGTTTGCATTATGTTTACAAACTTAAAACCCCCACATCTCCTGGATATTGTGTTGAAGGAAGACTGTATGGGGTGCAATATATGTGAATGTCAATCAGATGCCCTTGTTTCTTCTATGTCTAATTGGACGGTATGGGGAGTGGCTTTTTTTTTTTTTTTTTTTTTTTGCATGGTTTATAGCCATCAATGGCTGAATTAATGTCATTTTAGTTTAATCTAATTTTTTAGATTAGATGTAGATTTAATCCCATATAAATTACAATTCTGCTGGAGAATGACAGGTATATCTTTGCACTCTCCCTGATAATCCATATGCTCAAAACTGAAGCCAGTATCTCCAGTTAACTAGTATTTTAAACAGGAGTTTTTGATAAAAACTCCTTTATTGCAGACATTATAAATACATAAACATGGGTATAAAATTGCAGTGCACTTTATTTTTTTCTTAAATATGACTGTCGTTTTTCATAGTAATAAAAAAAACAAACAGAATTTCTTGCTATTAGTTAGGAAAAAAATCCCAGCTTTACCTGTTTTCACAGCGTAGACAAAATTCAGACATTGACTTAATAATGGACAGAGAAGTATAAAAACATCTAATTGCAAAGAGGGAGAGGAGCATTGATTTGCTCCTTTCTTCAGATTTCCTTTTCTTTTGGCCTAGCTTTTTAAACATGAAAGGCTGTCATCAAATAACTATTTCCAGAGACACTCCAAAACTTTCCAGATTGCATGTCAGATTTTAATGGTATTATGCTCACTGTGAAACATTATATGCATAACAGAATTTAGGAAGAACAATAGTACTTTGGTTCCTAGCACAGCAAACACTCAAAACCAATTTGAAGGCATTTGGTTAGTCCTTTTTTTTAGTCAATGTGAGTAACATGCTAAAAACTCAGTACCATCTTAGGGTACTCAGGTTACGCAAAGAATGAAATTGAGGACTCTAAATTGCTCTAGAATCACTTCTAGTTACATAAAAGGTTAGCCATTAGTATTATGGTGCCATTAAGTGGAGAAAAAGCCTTCAGTTGTACCTAAGCTATTCAGTTTTCTTCCCACATCTGATGAATACAAAATTTTTCAAGTTAAGAATTATGCTTAAAAAAATCTGAAGTCAAATTAATGGAGGGCTAAAAAGAAAATGAGGTACTTAAAGCTGTGCAGATTAGTTGTTCTGTATTTAGAGAAATATGGCATAAAGTGCACTGTAAATTTAAATATCATTAGTGTATGCCAATTAGAATTTTAGACTACGCTTCATAAAAATTTATTACTAAACTCTATCTATTTTTACTATATAAATTAAAATACCTTTCAGGAGTATAGGCTGTGTCATCATAATATGAATTAGGCACTCTTCTCTCCTGCCTAGTCCTCCTGAATATGGAATAAATAGCACAGATATTTCAGACATTTCAGAGGTTGCTTTTTTCATTATATATTCCATTATTGTAGTATTAAGATTTGATGAAGATAGAGCACATTTCTTCAATTCAGCGGTATACTCTGAACATATATTTTCTAATATATATATATCAAATTTTAAACTTCTGCTTTCAAATTCTATTCAAAAATAATTAATAACTTATTAACACTTAATCAATGCACACATATTTCATGGAAGTAAAAAATTACATTGACAGAAAAGTAGTTGAACAACTGAGAATGTTGACCAAACGTAGGATTTGGATGTTAAAAAATGTCTGCTGGGTAAAACAAAAGTCAGGAAAGAAAATGGAAGCAAAATCTAATTTCCTTAAATAAAAAACAGAAATTCTACCTGAAAGAAACCTCACATCCTGCACAAAACATAAACAAACCAGCTCCTATGGACTTACAAACACTAAACTCAAAGGCTAAGTGAAAAAAATAAATTGCACATAATGTGGTGCTCCTGCTGATTAAGCTGAGTTCTGAGGTAGGTCAGTTGAGAAATAAGTTCATGCAGTAAGGTTTCCAGCATAATTTTATTTGGAATGAACTGCTAACTTTTTTTTAATACAAGGACATCGTTAAGAATAAGATCCTTGAAAACATTATTTTTCATTGAGATCGTGTGTGTGTCAGACAAAATATGTTACTGTCAAATTATGAATTAGCCCATATAAGTCTGTAGGATTCTGAACTGGGGGATATAAATAAAAGTGTAAGTAAAGCTCCACATGTCGAGCCATGATGTCTTGTGTGCATTCAGTGTGAGTAGCTCAGCAGTGTGAGCTGACACCAGCTGCTGCTACTGTGCTGACTGCAACCTTCACCAGCCAGGGGAACTTGGGGTGGGGTCCTGAGCAGCAGGATGCTCCTGACAAGACCCCAGGCCCTAAGGGCTCTGAAGCCACTGAAGTGCACAGGTGCTTATTGCCTTTCTTAGGCAGATGTTGGAGTAAATAACTTGTCAGTGCTGCTGTTCCTCCTGGGATGGAAAGAGTTGGACTTCTTCAAAAGAGGGGAGCTATCAGAGAAACAAAATGATGAACACCATAACCTAAAAATGACCTCAGAAATTAAGGGTTTTGCTAATGTAAATGTGTCCTAGAACTAATGAAGTCTATCATACCAGATAAACAGTAACTGACACAAACTTCAGGAGATAAAAGATGAAAGAGAACCAAGTTGTCTCTCTGTGGGGGAAAGAAAAAAGGAAAAAAAAATGCTAGAAGAGACCACAAAAGTTAATGGGGTGGCTGTGAATGACTACAAGATAAGCAATAAAAGGAGCCATGAATAACAAAGGCAAGTAATTTTGACTAATATATCTATATGATTTATTTGCCTGCAGGACACAGATACTGATGGATTCAGAATGACATGAGATAAAAAACTCTGTCCCAGACAAGAGACTCTTTCCTGAATGCTGGACTGTACAGAACAATATTTGCTATTTTGATGAATAGGGGAAACTGAAAAGTTGTTTCATATGCATGATAAAGTGAAAGTAAAAGAGAGGAAGAGATGTGGTTGCTTGATATCAACAAGACATTGATTAAGGAGGCAGAACAAAGAAGGCAGGAATAACACGCTGGGCTACAAAATAATGTATTTTAGAGTAAACACTGAACTGGGGAAAAGTGTAAAGATAAAAGAGAAAATATTGTTTAAAATGTAATTTTTCATATATTTGCAATAAAAACGAAGAATAGAAAATTGCTTAATGTTTTTCAATGAGTAAGAAGAAACTGGATAATGATTATGCTATAAATTGTCCTGAAATTGTGGTTAGAATACAGGAAGAAAGAAAGGATGAAAAACTAGGAACTACAATTGTGTCTGTGAAGTACTCAGAGGAGTTCCTATCTGGTAGGATGACTCAAGTAACTTGAACACTAATGTTACCCAAAGGCAGCCTGGATTCAAGAAGATCATAGCATCCAGGATCAGTTTCTAGGCCCAAGGAATCTCAAGATACTGTTCTAACAGTGAGCTAGAAATATTCCACTTCATGTCAGATTTTAATTTCTGATCCCAGGCGGAATTAGCTTTAATAGTCTTATGTTCATAAAGCCCTGGAAAAGATTTTCCCACTGCTTAAATCCTACTTTTTCATCTTTATGAAGTACTGTAACTTTTGCCCTTTATTTTCATTGATTTTAATTTATTTTTGAGAGATTAATTTCAGAAAGAAAGATTGAGATTTATAAGTTAAGAACCTCAAAGTAAGACAATTTTAGAATAGCTCCAACTTTCACTAATATCTGAGCAGTCACAGACATAACCAGTGATGTGAAACAGGTTCAGAGAAACTAGTGCAAATCAGAGTATGTATCTAAGACAAAAAGTATCTAAAAATTAGTTATTTAAATAGCATACAAATGAGCACATTTCATCATGCATTTAAAAAAAACAAACAAAAAATCTCTCTCTTTACTGAAGTTTCTACATGTTTCTACATAAAACTATCTATACACTTCCTTTATACTAAGCTTCATGTAAAACAGTATCATTTCAAAATGAATGCTTGACTGAGTTCTAAATGTTAAAATGGCCAATATACCATAGCTTTGGATAATTTTTAAAAAGCAATATTTCTTTCAAAGAATTTTTCAGATCCTTTTTTGTTTCTGTATCCAAAATTAATTTTACATTCACTTAAAAATATATTGATACAGGATCTGAATCCAGTGCAAGCATTAATGAACTTCTCTGACTAATATCCAGAGGGCAGCCATGAAGTTAATATATGAAGAGTTCGTCTTGCTTTAGAAATTTTTGCATGGCTCGTCTTGTAAAGCAATACCTCTATCAACCATCGTATCTGATCTGAAGTCATCACTTCCTTTTTATTGGTTCACAGTTTTCAGATTGATATTCTTATTTCTATTTACACATAACTATGTAAACTTTTTTTTGTTTCTGAATTTCTGAAAATATCTTAATTACAGTACTTCAGCAGCATCACTTAAGAGCCACTGTATTTCAAATCACAAGATATTTCACAGAAATTGTTATGGGCTCAAATTTTCTCTCCATATATTTCATGTGCAAATAGGAAATATAGTGTTCTGCAATCATACACAGGTATTGTGAGTATGTACAACTATTCTTAAATCACACAATAGGCAGTATACAAATATAAACAATGTAAGCTTACATAAGCATACACTTTTACTTTTCACTCTATTTTTCAGTTATGCAAAGTATAAGACTTCAGAAAGATACTCTTTCTGTGCAGAAGTAAAGTAGATAGGCTTTTCCTTGTTATTTCAAAGAGAATAATAAATGCTACAAGCACTCTGGAAAACTCCAGCAAAAATAAGGGTTATAAAAGACACAGACATATAATATCCATATAACCTATTTTAAAACTGACTTCTGCAAAGCTATTCAGCACCTCTTGGGATTTACTCATGTCCCAGAGTAGTCAGTTTTAAGATGAATATATACCCAGAGTATTACAAAACATATTCACTGTATGTGTTTATCTCTTAAAACATAAATCACATTCTCAGTTTGGAAATCAAACACGGCAGTGTCAGTGTGGCAGAGCTAATGGTATACTCCACATCAGTTATACCTCTCAAGATCATAGTAAGCACCCTCAGAATAGGTACGGCACATGGTACGGGAGCGGAGTAATCGGATTGCATCTTCACAAAACAGAGGATACATTGTGTGATCCTGGCTGTCAAAACAGAATGGGTGAACACAATGAAAAGCAACAAAAAGATGAAACGAGGACAAAACAACATGAAAAGCAAGCAATGTCAGCAACAGAACATGACTGGAACATTTGGCAAACTTTGCAAAACTACTTTTAAAAATTGAAGTATATTGGCTCGTAGATACAAGAGCTACAAGACTGTGAGAAAGGTATCACTCTCCAGTTTTATCATAACCTTTAACTCAGCCACTCATATATGATTTTTTTAATATTAAAATCACAGTATTAGCATGTGTTTCCTTGTTTAAATTATTTTCTTTATATACTCTGTAAAAGATATCAGAGTGATGTAAATAAAGCATAATCTTTGAGGACCATCAATTATAGACTATTGGCAGTGAGAAAATATTCAAGTGAAACACAGGAAGAATTACCCAGTGTTCGTGTGCACACTATGTTAACAAATCTAATGATAATACTAACTCAATTTCTAAGTTGTCTACTACTATACACAGACAAATAAAACCAGAAGTGAACATACAGGTACAGAAATACATGCATTACCCACACAGAGTCACACAGAGGAAAACATATACCTGACATCCCTGTAATGGTGATCTGTGGACTGGGTGTACCGGGAACGAGGTAAAGTAACATAATGACTGAGGGGATGGCAGAAAGAAAAATACAGATATGAAACAATAAGATGGAGAAGGAATGGTACACAACACAAAACAAAAAACATTATAATCCAAGAATACAGGAGCTACAAAAAAATTTTAAGAGCACTGGACTTTTTAACAAAATAGTATGATATATTGTTCCAAAGGTAAAATTATCTAAATGATTCACATATTTATTCTTAGAAGCCGGTGGGACATTATGGATCAAGAAGATAGCTAAAATTTAGAATTTTCTACAGTATTTCAGTTAGGAAGAAAAAATGCTTAAATCTCTGAAAGCAACTCTAGGCGTCAGATTGCCTAGTCCCTTGTTTGAAGGCAGTCATAATTTTAGCATGAATAATATCTTTGAAAGAGATTTAACTAATCTGTCTGAAAGGCTACCACCATTTGGAAATCTGTCCCCACGTAGCTCCAGAGCTTTCCTGTTTCTAAGTGTAAGTTCTCCTAATACTGATCATATTGTGATGAAAGGTGAATTTAGATCAAAGTGTTTCATTATTTAAATAAATAATGAAGAGATAAAACATCAGTACCAGAATATGCCAAAAAACCTAAATGCAGTCCAAAATAAAAAAAAACTAAGTTATTTATATTTTGTTTGTATTGGGAAACAATGTCAAAATTTATACATTTTAAATGTATTTGTTACACTAGATATTCTCCAAATATCAAAATTAGAAGAAAGTAATTTTACTTTTAATATAAGTATATGCACATAGTACAAGGAAAAGGGTTTGGAAAAGAGAGGGTTTTACCATTAACAAGGAGTTATTGACTACAGTTTCCCTGAGGCTGGGATATTTCAAAGGAAAGTCTAATCACAACAGTCCACATTGGAAGTTCAAACTGACTTCACAAGAAACATGGAAAACCTCATCCTTCATTTTTATTTCTTGTATCTTAATTTGCTTATGATTACTGTTTTTCCAGGAATCACATTGTTAACAATAGGTATATTATCTTCACTTATTATATTTGCCTCTTTTGCATGAGGATAAAATGCACCACCACCTACAAGAAAATATTCCTTAAAGTAGGTTAATTACATATAAATTTTTGTGTTCATTTCTTGTCAAATAAATTCAAGAGAAGACTTTGCACTATAAAAAAATACTTTAAATACCAGACTATGCAACTTAAATTTTGTAGTTTGTTACAAGAATGAGGAGAGGTACACAATCCAACAGGGCCCAATTTGACATGGTACAGTTAAAATTTGAAGCACTAATAATTATTAAAGTAGTCAGAGTTTACACTGTAGGCTGCAAAAAACTATAACTGTTCTTAAACTACTGTAAAGACCTAAGTATCAAAAGCAGTCTACCCATAACAGCCTGTCAGTCAGCATGCTGTCAAGAAACATAAAAAAAAAATCACCATGCTCTTAAAACTTTCTTTGGAATATATGCACACCCACAGGAAGAACAATCAAATAAAATTGTAGGAGTCTACCCTCCAGGAGCTAAATGTACAATGGCAAACTGCATACCAGGTTATTCTCTCCACTACATGGATACATTCCCAGGCTATGTCCACATGAATATACCTTTAAACTATTCAGATGCAACCCTGGAATTAATACCTCAAAACTCTTGCTCTAGTATTAATAAGCAATTAAGTGTTTCCAGCTGGTAGATGACATCTTAATTTTAACAATTTGCCTTTTATCTTCCCAGTGAATTGCTGACAAGTTTTCCTTGTAGTCTTTGAAAAATATATGACATCAATAAATACTATATATTTAACCACGATTTAAAAACCAACATCTTAAACAAAACTAGGACTTCAGGCAGAACATATGTTGCAGAACATTAATTCCATGGGCATGCACATGCTGTTTGCAAGTCGATTATTTACTGTCCATAAGAAGGAACACCCCAGACTGTTCGCTTCCCTTATTTTTATGTGAATGAGACACCATCGGTTCATGTTCTGCTTAGGATTTCAATCCTAACAGCTTTTCATATCTCCACCAAACTATGCTGATTGCCCAAGTTCTGGTATCAGGTTTTGTCCTAATACTTCTAGAAACTCAGAACTCCAGTGTCCTTACCAAGTTCTCAGAATTCTTCTTGGGAATTTCTGGCAGGCAGTTCAACCTTTTATCTTTTTTTTATTTTTATTCAGTTCAGAATTTCAGAATCAGAGTACGATAGCATGATAGTGTGATTTAGATGGCATTTAGATACAGCCACTTATAAAATTAGATATGCAATAAGTTGTAACTGGTTTAAAATAAGCTTTCTCATCACCCAGAACTTTGCTTATCTATATATAGGAGCAGGGTTAGCTTGAGCTTATACTTGACCTGACCCTCTGGAATTACTGGCTATTCATACTTTTCCTTTTTTCTCAGAGCCCATGTTAACCATGGTGTCTAACTTAATAGAGTCATAGAACCACTATCAAAGATCATCAAACCCAACCTTTGACCAAATATCACTATGCCCACTAAACTATATTGTAAAGTACCTCTTCTACTCGTTTTTTCGGCACTTCCAGAAATAGTGACTCAACCATTTCCCTGGGGAGTATGTTCCAATGCATAGACTCTCCTCTCTTTCAAATATTTCTTAATATCCGACCTGATTCAACATGCAGAGCAAAATGCTTAAATGCCATCTGTCTTCTGAGCATCCAGCCAGTACTACACTAGTTGATTTTTTACCATTAAATATATTACTATACATTTTTTATATATTTAGGTTAAAATAAATTCTTTAGGCTTTTATAAATATGTTAGCAACACCAAAAATGCCTATGACTTAGTCTCAATATCCAAAATTGAAACATACGCCACATTTATTTGGATAAACTCCAGTATAAACCACTTAAAATTCATAAAGTGAATGTGTTACAATGTAGTAAAAACATCAAGTTTTGCATTGGCTTAGTGCAAAAGAACTCCAGTGATGTTCCAGATCTCCAACTCAACTAAATATATCATTTGAGCTTTTAATGAAAACCATTACCCTAATTGCATGGGAATGCTCAGAATACAATGGAGACATGGAAAAAATTTAGATATGTCAGATTTTTAATATGAAAGAAACCTCCAGGATAACTTTTTTTTTTCTTTGCAACCTTGCTTTAGATTTCTAGCTTCTTATCACACATTCTTTACTTTCTACATTATAATAGTCCATGGCAGAAGTATGTCAAATGATGGTATGGCAAAATGAACATAACCTGCATCCTCACAGACTTATGAAACATTACCTATTTTGTTACAGATAGAACAGACAGAAAATTTTCAGCAAAACTTTATTTTACTTATATTAAAATAATGAAGTTATTCTAATAAGGCAGCATTATAGGTTTTGCAACATTATAATTATTATACACAGACACACACATACTCCCATCACCTTCCACACTCTATCAGGTGAAAAGAGATTTCCACTGTTCTGCCAAGGAGACTCCATGTACATAGGTAAAGAGGATAACTTTACCTTTCTTTAAGTGAAGAGAAAATTACTTGAAATTCTTCTGATATTGCTTGCCTATTTGTCCATTTTCTTACAAAATTCAGTGATCATTAGTGTAAGAAAACAGAAATCAGTGATTCAGCAATTGATTAGATTGCCAAATTGGAAGTACTTAGTGTAACATACCAGAATAGTCTCAGAAGCACACTTTAAAACACTCACACACATAGTACTTCACTTAAGCCTCATGCAATACCTTTCTGTTCTTCCTATGCAAGGGGAATTTAACCTGTTCTCTATTGTGTGGGATAATTTATTCAGTAGTAAAGAAGAGGTATTTAGGAGATACCAGGTCCTCAAATTTGACTGACTTTCCAGCTTCCCTACTAAAGTGGGCAGTAGCCTCCCAAGTGTTTTTGTGGAAAGGCTAAAGTACTGTGTATGATTACACACTTGTGCTCATTGGAATATCCATAAATAATTCTGAATGCAAAACAAGTCTTTGTGTTCCTTTCCATTAGAGCCTGTATGAAAGAAACTCAGCTGACACAAGAAACTTCTCTCATCCTATCACAGTTTATCTATTCCCATATTCAGCTTTTTCCAGTGTATTATCTGACTGCAATTTAAGCAATATATTTTATCATTGGCAATAGTATTATCCTCTATTTTCAGTAATACTCCTTTGCATTTTTTTCTGAAACAACAATGTATGAAAAGTATAAAATTATTTAAATCGCAAAAAAATAAATCTAATTTTTTTACCGGCATGAATTTGCCTTTAACAAAAAACTTCCCAATTTCTTAAGTTATAATTTTCTAAAAACTAGCAATGTGATAAAATAGGAATTAGTTTAATCAGACTGCAGAGTAAGAAACCAGTGGTTTTAGGAGTCAATTAGTTGGGAATTTAGGGGGGAAGAACCATTGAAAGTGGTAAAAAAGAGAAAGCTGCCATATAAAATTTAGGGGAAGTACTGTGGGAAGGAATGAAGTAAAAATTGTGCTTGGGATCACATTGACTGTGAGGTTGGCAAAGAATTGTTCAAGGGAAAAGGAGCTGGGATCTAATAAAATGATGTGGATTCAGAGAAAAGATGCAGCTCTATGAGCAGCTTACTCATTTCAACAATGGAAAGCAATTACTACAGCTGGTAACTTTTTCCAGGGCCCAGTTATACCATTCTAAAAGATTATATTCTCATCTGAATAAAGCAACAGTTAACGTTCCCTGTGGTAGAATGTTTTCCATGCTGCTTCCCAAACACCTGGCAAATCACACCAACAACGTGAATTAAGTGTGAACTCCAACTCTTAACTCTTAGAAAATGTCAAATGTCATTCAAGAATAAAGTACTAGTTATGTAATTTCCCCTTCTACATTTAATTGAATATATTAATAGAATAGTTTTATTTAATAATTGGGTTTTTTAAAGAAAAAAGTATTTTTCTTTACTTATCAACAATTTTTCCACCAATAATGGTATGGATTTTTTTTGTTACATCGATTCTGTCGGAATTTCTGCTAATCTCCTGGGACAGATGAAATCCTAGAAATGTTCTATCTGAATGTAACTAACAATTTGAAGACTTTAGTGGTGAAACAATAGCAATTATCAGCAGAGAATTTGTGAGCTGACACACATTCAATCAAGATGAGTTTCAATAAGAAAATCAGTATCACATTATCACAGTTCTCCCCATACTGTATTTTAAAATTTTAAAATCATTTCTCCAAAGGTGGAACAGAGAAGTCTTTTATCAGAACTGAATTATTTTTAATACAGGCCTTTTTTTTTTTTTGCTTTTTTTTTTTTCCCAGTGCATTTTATTCTGAGGAATATATCTATGACTCTTGGTGGTGGTGGGTTTTTTTAAATTTGGCTCAAAGCTTCTTCTTCACCACTTTCCTATGCCAACATCCCTGATGGAGATAATCATCCTTCAGCAGACTCATGGAGGCACCAGGTGGGTGGTACAGATAATTGTGCAATTAAACAGCGATTTGAAAGGAGAAAAAGAACTTAAAAAACACTGCAATTATTGAGATTCAATCTAATGCAAACATTTTATAACATAGCTATAAGTAAATTTTCAGCAATGCATTTCTTTTACTGGGTATTTGAAGACATAAAGCAGTGACATTACATATCCCCATGTGGGCATGCTACCCACATGATACATTCAACTGAAACCTGAAAAAATTATCCCAAAATTTCCAAATAAAGCATCAGGAATCCTTTACACTTTACAGTATCTTTGTATTTTAATCTGCATTTAAATGATTTCACAGTAAAATTTAACTAAATAATAAATAAATTACTACCTAATTACATATTATTCAGCTTTGAATAGACTTTGGAAAAAAAAATCTGTTCTTTTCAGTGTTTTAGTATGGAAATATGTATAAAAAATATTTTCCTGGTTTAACTTAACCTGGCACTTAACGTAATAACAGTATGGGATTAGAAGCCTGCTACCCATAGATAAAGCAACTGCATAGTTTAAGAGGATATTTAGAAATATAAAATTTATGCTGCTCTTGATCACCTTTAATTTTGTGTCAAATAATAGAAACAGGTATTTACACTGTGTTTTAGCTAACACGTAACAGGCTCATTATAGTGAATTATTTTGGTCTTCACTGGTTTGATTATAGCAAACAGAATTTTTTGGTATCTATTTCAACATTTACTTCATGTTAAAAAAAACAAGCCACATGCTTTCAACAGAATGAAAAAACCAAGTATGTATTCAAATATGTGAATGAAATCTCCTCTCAGTAACAGGGGTGTGATAGTCCTGCTAGTCCCAGCATATCCAGATAACATCACATCTTTGAAGTGATTTTAAAATAATGGACAATATTTCTCTAAATAATCATGCTTATGACCACCCTATTAGTTTAACAAAACAAGTAGCAACTTTTCTTCTTTCAAATGCAAAGTGTGCAATACCTTTGATGAACAAATAGTGGGTAATTTCCTTTTTCTCTTGCTTTCGTCTAAGTGCCCCTCAGAAAAACACTTTTGCTTCAGGAGTTTTCTCATATATTTCTCCTGCAAGACTCGTTGAGTTAGGCATTCTCAGAACGCTCTGGCTTAACATACCTATGCTAAATTCACCATTAGCAATCTTATCCCTCAGGGAGAACCCACTTAGGATATCAAATATAATTAAATTAATAGTTGCTAAATAGTATCTAAGTTTGTTGAAGTTGTGGGCCTGAGTACAGTTTTCTCACACTGTCTTGGTGTTTGTTCTTAAGTGTTGATATACCTTTCAGAAAGAAACACACAGATATAGTTCGGTGGTTTTGTTGTTATTCATTATTTTCTTTCTAGAACTATGCTAAGATTCTCACATTTTTCCTTGAATTCACTCAATTATATTGATTGTTTAAATATAACACTCTGAAGTTAAATCCAATTCCAAATTTTTCTCAATAGTTTCATCATTTGATTGGTTTCAGTCTCTCAAGTAAGGTAAAAGTCAGTTTTAGAGATTTTATTAAAACATGTCAAACTGACATTTCCAAGGTTATTCCATTCCAGATAAATGTTCTTATGGAACTTGGGTCCATATTAGGTCATAGAGATTCATATTTCTTTACATTACAAATGTAGGCTATTTCATAAGAGTATGAGTACCCACAATAAACCTTACATTTTGATAACAATTAACTAGTAGACCTATATTAAATATACAGGTAACAAATTAACATGGTTTTTCACTTTGAGTTAGCAGTGCACACAGTATAATTTGGCACTTTTGTTAATACAGCAACAGATACAAATTTAAACTGTAAATTTACCCTTATATTATATAAAAATAAGTATATGATATAGCCATATTTTACATGTTTAAGAGTTTGGTGTTTGAAATTAAAATTATCTCCTATTAAATTTAAAAAAATGTGTCTTTCTGGGTTTCAAAAAATATTTTTATTTTCAATTCTAACTATGCATTCAATTTTTAAGGAATGTTTACATTGCCATTAGACTTGAGGTCATTAGGCTTTTTGTATGTGGTTTCAACTAACTCTTCAGTGCCATATACCTTAGAGAACTTAATGGTGAATTATCTATCAAAGGAAGAATTTTATTCATATTCTCAGTCATACTTTAACCTAGCAACTGAGCATGCCTATAAGACAGTACTGTTTCCAAATCCCTTTTTTGCAAGCAGCTTCAAAAGCTGTTTCATGGAAACAAGAAACCATCAGAGCTGTGGGAAGGAAATATGTGATTTGTTTTAAGAGCCAAGTGTGGTTAACATGTAGAGAGATTACAAACCTATACAAAAATGCAGTTTTTCAACTTCCTCCAACTGCCTGCAGTTCCAGAATATTTCGGGAGCAACACTATTAAAGAGCTACTTTAGGGATACCATTGGGTTTTTGTTATATAACAGAGACAGTATCACAAATATTCATTTAAAGAATTTGAAATCTAATAATCTTCACATGCATAAAATCACTGACAAATTAACAATGCATATTAAAAATATATATATTTGGAAATAGTCTTTTCCTGTTCAGAGATCGCATGTTGCAATAGAGGCATAACTAGCCAATAATTTGATTACACAGGCAACCACTCACCATGAACGAAGAGGAGAATTTCTCTGTGTGTTTTGGAAAATACAGACAACATATAAAACTGTGTTTAAAGATTAAGAGCACACCTATCAAGCAAAAACCTATTAATCTAGAACAGTCGTGAAAATTCAATAATTTCATCTCCAAAAACCTTCTGACATTGTTTTTTTGACATACTCTAGAAAACCCAATTATTTTTCTCTAAATCGAGTCGGTCCAGCAGGGATTATTTGACTGAAGGGATGGAAAAACATTGTGGTATAGTACTTCAAGCAACCTTTCACAGCTATGCATTTATCTGGGAGGCAACAAATGAACTTGCACAGTGAACAAATGCAGCAGCACTCCATAAGGCATGCACAGGCTCGAAGGACAAGTTTAGATCCTGTTTCATTGGTCTAAAAATCAACATAACATTGTATCCCAAAAGCATTCTGTAATTATCTTTTAAGGAAACTTCTTCTGAAATGAAAATATTATAATCTTTTGAAAAATATTGTCTTGTATTCCATACAATCATTGACCATCACATTACTGGTCTCTTAAGAAATATTAATCTTTTCTGTTCAAAATTGCTAACAAAGAGCCACTGATTTCTCAAATTCTTTGTATTACAATTAGAAACCCCAAAGATGTGTTTTGATCACTTGAAAATAACCTGTAATGGCTATCTGTAAAAGTATTAACTTCAAATACTAGTCATTTATTACTCAAGATTACAAAATGTATCTGTATTATTCCTTGGTATATGCAATTATAAAATGAGACAAAAGCTAGCAATTATGCCTTTCATTATAAAATGCAGGAATTTCAACTTGGTGCAAAAAAGATGAAAGATTTTAAAAATTAAAGGTAATAAATGTTTTTTGGTTTTGATTTTCTACCTGAAGACAATGAGGTGAAAAAGACCAATAATTTTTTTAAAGTCAGAAAGTCATTGCCACAATTAATTCAAAATTAACTAAATTGTTCAATTATTGCTGCAATTATTTTTTATAGAATTCATATTAAAATTCATAGAGGTTGCTAAAGCTCTGCTTACTGTTTGGGAAGTTCCATTAGGCAAAACATTAGTCACAGTCAGATGTGCCTCAAAAGATTCCTATTTCATACATGCTGTACTAATCATTTTTCATTTTCTCTTTTACAAAGTGTCTCAGAAGGTTGAGTAAAGACAAAAACAGAAGACAGTACTAGAATATACTTTTGTTACACCTGTGAACTGCACTGTATCCGACAGGAGCATTACATTAATACTGAGCTGAAATAATCTATTTTTATGCCTCTTTATTCAGCAGCAAAAATGATCAAGTCTACTGATAGATTTTTAAAAGACGTTTAGTACTTCAAAAATTCACTTGTATAACACAAAACGGTATTTTTATAAAAAAGGACAATTAAACTATTCAACTTTTATGTTATACATTTCTCGCAGATTTTTTTAGATACGCTCTTGGCAAGCATACACCCACTGGACAGTTCGACCTTATGTGCACTGATATTTTGTAACGTGTGTCATGTAGCCAGTGGAGAGATGAGAAATGCTAATCTCTGGGATTAGGTATGTAATTTACTTTAGCAAGCTACCATAGTGCAGTTGCTCACGTTGATGCATGTAGGCTACAGCTGCCTGTAGCCCCAGCCAGCGCTTACCTGTCTCTGTCGGGGGAGTAGTGGTCGTCCATCCCTCGGTGCCTGTCCATGCGGTTCAGGGTGTTGTAATGAGCAGGGGTCGATCGAGTCCCTCGCAGGCCCTGATCCACATTCCGACTAAGGACAAAAGAGATCAGGTTCTGAGTTCTGAGTGTGCCTGGATGACATCCTCTCACTGGTTTGTACAAACAGCTATCAGCAATCATGTTGGTAACAAGATCTGTTAGCTCACCAGACTTTTCCACATATTTAAAGCACAAAAATTTTAAATCTTAAAGGTAAAAAAAAATATTTCTCATTTAGAAAATGGTTCCAAGTCCATTATAGGGATAGAGTAGTTTTTTTTATTTGTTCCAATGTGTTTCTTCTGGAAATAAGTGAAAAGCTTTTCTTTTTCCTGCTTTAAAAATATTAATCTTGCACAATATTTCATTAGTCTTTCTAGACTTCAAGTAAAAATTCATTTCTGACAGAAACATATTTTAAAAACTTGTAAACAATTTTTCATGAGTTCTTGGTTTTGACTTTACTATAAAGATGTAAACTATAGTTTGACACAATGGGGACTTGGGGCTGTTACAGTAGAGTGCAGCCTGCTGAAAACATTCTCATCTGAATTTAAAGCTGATTGTTTTGCCCTGGAAAATTTACTTCGTAATCTCACTAGAAAAAAAATCTGAGAAAACCCATAATCCCATTTAATTAGCTGTAAGTGGTACCCATAGTGCAAGCTTGGTTAAAGAGCACCAGCCACCAGTACTAACTGAGACCAAAGTTTTGCCTATTGGTTGTTTTGCTCAGTTTATCTATCTATACCTACTGGCACACACCAACTTTACTTTTCGTGCTCTTTTTTTACTTTCTTCCTGCAAGAACAGGTAAATAGGAGACAACAGTTAATTGTAATATTTATTGGATAATGAAAACATAATTGTTTTGTATCGATTTCAAAATAACAAATTGCATGCTTCCCTCCACATAAATTAAAGATTTAGGCCAATAAATTCTTCTGTCTCCTGTCCTTTACTGCAATCTGCACTAGTGTGAGCCTCACTTTCCTTTATTTTTTGTATCACTCAGGTCCCCTTTCCCTCCTTGTCACTTTGTCTGCCTTTTTGGTACCTGTCATCCTTTGTCATTTACCAGTTTCTGACAAGCCTTAACTTGTACATGTATCCTTCACTGCTGCGGCCATGACATTATTTATTTCTGCATATAAGTGCTATAAAGATGTTGCATTACACATAAACTTTTGCTTTCAGCTCCACCTCCTTTGCCATTGAGTTTACTCTGGCTAGCAAAGAGTAACAAGAGCAGTAACAATTTCTTGTCAGCTACAATGCAGTGGTCTTTGGTGGAGTTTCTTAACAAAATTAAGTAGGACTGAGGACTATAAAATGGTTTCTAGGAAATTACAGCAACTTCTGTGGCCCAAAAACTCCTGCCTGCAGAGGTGTCAGTAATGGGAAATCTCTGAGCATGCAGAATGCTCACTGCAGTTAGGATACCTACAGAGCAGCACATGTACAACAACTTCACCTGAACAGGGTGCAAAAGTGATTAATAATTCTTATCAATTTCCTGAGTACATCTGCATTTTCAGTACAACTAAAAAAGATATTTCTATAACCCATAGATTATACTTTTCTTCTACAAATCTTCAAGCTATTATAACCTAATTTTCTGAGCTCAACAAGTCAAAGCATTGATTTAGTGTATGGGCAGGGAAATACTACACAAATAATGCATTTGATTCTGACATTGTAGGAAACAGCTGCAATAAATTCAAAACTATATTTAAAAATTTAGTTTTAGGAAAGTTAAAAAGCAAGAGATTTTGAACATGTAAAGAAATCCAAGACTACAAGAAAATGAAAAGTAGATTTTTCAATGATGTTAAACAAGTGGTAATTACCAGCTTGGGTGAAAGCTCTGCCCAAGCATGCATGCAGACAGAAAAACATAAAAACACAAACATACACAGAGAGAGATTTTGCTCACATTTATGTCTATACCCAAGACAAATAACCTCTGGAGATTTAGCAGGCAATTACTTAGGCTGAAATCAGTATAGTAAAAATCAGAATAGGCCTCTTTGTGTCTACCATTTATGTCTCATTTCAAGTCAGGCTGACTTGGATTTAGATAGGTTTAGATTTCAAGTAGAAACACAGTTTCTACCTCTTAGCTGTATGAGATGATGTGGGATAATTCGGAATCCTAATATCTCACTAATGCAAAAGTATATCCTATAGGCTACATCCATTAGAGGAAATGGTAAGTAAAAACACAAGTAAGATATTATGAAGTCAAGAGAATTTGAATTTAACAAAAAGAACAAAGATAACAGAAAGGAAAGCGGAGCATAAGAGAATTGGGATGACTGTAAGAAAAGGAGAGGAACATGTACCTGCTAGGAAATATTGGCTATTAGATCTTCAGTATTAAAGGGGAACTGTGAACATTACAGGGCAAAAGAGATAACAGAGATAATTTCCACTTTCATTTCAACTGAATTACATCGGGAAACCTACCCATACATAGCAACAAAATGGCTGGAATACAGAATTCCCATTTACATCTGTCCTTCTGCTTCCTTTCTCTCAAGAAAGCTTTTCCTGCAGAGTATTAAATCAATTATTGGGTGTCATCCAAAAGTAGTAGCTTTTGGAAGAAATTTCCTGGTCTAATTCTCTCAAGATAAATAGTTATCAGAGATCTTCCAAGATCAGGAATTGATGCCTTTCACTATAAAATTGCAGGTCTGTCAGTTTATTTGTGATGATTTAGAAGTATGAAAAAAATAGTAGAAAGGAAGCTTCTGTGGGCAGCAAGGGAATCTTAATTCTACAGAAATAAAAGGGGTGGAAACATCCGCTGTCATATGAATGCTAAGGAAGTATAGAACGATCACATACTATAAAACATGGCACTTGTAAATAGCTCTAGAAAATGAAAACGTGGAGAGATATTTTTCTTTCCTTAGATTGGACTGTACTGGATTTTGAAAGACTAGATATAAATAGGCAGAAGTAAGATACAATTATGAAATCATATAATAATAATAATGAATAATATAGTAATAATAAAGAATACATAACACAAAATTATATATATAAATTAGGCACATCACTATACTGTAAGAAAAAACATTATTGACTTTACGTAATTTTGTAAGATCTAACCAATTCATTGCCATTTTGAAAGACTGGAGCTTATTTCCAGTGTTGCTACAAGATCAATACCACTTTAATTTGTACAAGTGCATAGTTAAACAAGATTTACCTTTGTGGGGGAGGGACACTGGGAGACCACGATCTAGTCCGTCCTATACTATCTCCACGGTGAGGGGACCCTGATCGAGAACAATGATTAGATGACATTACTTGCTCTGGCACTGACAGTGTTGAACTTTGAAGATCTCTCCCATTATGTCGGTAGTCTAAAAAGAAATGCAAATATTCAGTGAATCTGAAGTTGTGCTTTTCAGCTTCCTGCCATACCTGTAGTAGTGAGAAACTCAATAAAAGATGGGATTTGATCAAGAATGTTATCATGTGCTCTTGGGTTTTATAATAAAGCATACATATGTAAAGTTGACTCCTGTTGTTATGCTTTTTAAGTACAATTACAGTTCCTATAGTTATACTTTAAAAGTATAGAAATTAATACCATGCACCAAACAGGGGACTTACCATTTATAGTTAACATTATGTCTTAATAAAAAAAAAATAAACTGATTTTCCTTAGAATAAAGAATCTAATTATTGCATTCTTAATTGAAATTATATTGCAAATGTTGCATATATTATTTTTCAAATAGAAATGCTCATAATTGAAAATTAATCCAAAATTTAGTTTACAAATTTGGGACAGGAAACTACTCTGGAGTTAAATAATGAGATTGAGTTCAAGAAAGATTTGTATTTCAGAAATAATTAAAGTAACAATAACTCAATGACATCAGGATTCACTCACAATTCTGAACTAAGAAACACAATTCCTTCACAAATAGCAAGCACCCAAGCCTAATCTTGAATAAACCCAAGAGAAGGCACAAATGACCTAAGCAAAAGCCTCCAAGGCAACTGGCCTAAAAGGCTACCACATGGACATTTAACACAGGCTTTTAATAAAAATCTTTTTAAAAAGCTGGATGCATTAAAAGTGATTGTCTTAATCTAACTGAAAAAGTTGAATTCACTGTCCCATGGTGCAATACTCTCTGTGGGAAAAAAAATGCTAGATATACAGCAATTTCAAGTAAGTTTTCCCAAATTGTGTGAGGATGAAATTAAAACATAATGATAAGAAATTGAAGATTTTCAATTGCTAACTTGATTATAATGCTTAGCAGAATAGGTCTTTAGAGAGTTCCTGCTGGCTATGACAACTGACATAACTGATTTCTTTCTTCTGAAAACAGTAACCAAACAAAGAATACTTAGAGAGATCCAACCTGCACTGGAAAAATTCTGGTTCATACAACTGTTATACTTTTCCCATGAGAATCTTCCAAGAGTATAATAATCTTCTGCTCATGACTTTTCTTATTTTTCTTCCCGGAAAATGTTCATAAGGACCTAAACAAAATCTTATTAATTAATAAATAACTTCTTCCTCCTCTGTTAGGGTGTAAACTGCTTTGTGTGTATCTGGTATGCATACATAAAGGGAAAAAAAAAGCACAGCACCATTACATTACACTAATATAAAGATGCTGAGGATCACATAATCTCTCCTCTCTACACAGCAGTCAAATGGTGTTATGTGTATCCTCAGCTAAGAGTCAGTAATGAAATACAGACTTTTATCCTCCATACAAAGTAAATTTATTATCGTAAGCACTGACAACACATATAGGGGCCAGTGCAACAGAATTCTGAAGTCACCAAAAGCAAGACAGGGGAAATTTTATCTATGTTTGAAACAGGGTGTTACTCACTCACTAATGAAAGTGTAGGTGATAAATAAATAAATTTTTTGCAAGTCAGTCTGGAAATCAATATGTTCTGCAATTCTGCATTTTTTTAACCAAAGTAAAAGAGCTAATGTAACAGTAGTGGAGAGTCCAGCCTGCAGCAGGCTCCTGGCAGGACCTGTGGATCTGTGGAGAGAGAAGCCCACCCTGGAGCAGGTTTGCTGGCAGGACTAGTGACCCACCCTGGAGCAGTTTGCTCCTGAAGGACTGCACCCTATGGGAGGGACTCATGCTGGAGCAGGTTATGAAGAACTGCAGCTGATGGGATGAACTGACATTGGAGAAGTTGATGAAGGACAGTCTCCCATGAGAGGGACCTCACTCTGGAGTAGAGGAATAGAGTGAGGAGGAAGGAGTGACAAAGTATGATGAACTGACTGCATCCCCCATTTCCATCTCCCTGTGCAGCTGAGAGGGGGGAGGTAGAGAACCAGGCAGAGTGCTGTGTCCAGCTCTGGGATTCCCAGTTTAGGGAGAACCTTGAGACCCTTGAGTGCATCCAGAGGAGGCAACAAGGCTGGTGAGGGGCTTGGAACACAAACTCTGTGAGGAATGACTGAGGGAGCTGGGGTTGTTCAGCCTGGAGAAAAGGAGACTCAGGGGTGACATCATCACTGTCTACAGCTCCCTGAAAGGTGGTTGTGGTCAGGTGGGGGTCAGTCTTTTTCACCAGGTAGCAACTGACAGAACAAGAGGACACAGTCTCAAGCTGCGCCAGGAGAGATACAGGTTGGATTAGGAAGAAGTTTTTTACAGAAAGAATAATAAGGTATTAGAATGCTTTGCCTGGGGATGTGGTGGAGTCACCATCCCTGGATGTGTTTAAAAAAAAACTGGATGTGACACTCAGTGCCATGGTCTAGTGTTTCTAGTGAGGGGTTAGGGCATGGGTTGGACTTGATGATCTTGGAGGTCTCTTCCAACCTAGTGATTCTGTGATACTGTCATACTGTAAACCAGGAGTCAAGTTGAGACCAGAGAGAAGGAAGGGGTGGGGGGAAAGTTTGGAAATTTCAGAGGGTTATTTTCTCATTATCCTACTCTGATTTTATTGGCAACAAAATAATTTCTCCGAGTTGTGTGTTTTGCCTGTGACCGTAAGTGGTGAGTGATCTCTTCCTGTCCTTATCTCGACCCACAAGTCTTCAGTCACACTTTCTCTCCTGTGTCCAGCTCATGTGGGCAGCGATGGAGCAGTTTTGGCAGCCACCTGGCACCTATCCAGAGTCAATCCACCACACTTAAATGAGCAGCAAGTTATTATAAACTTCTAGATATTGAAATAAAAAACATGATTTACAGTACAAGGACACAGAGAGAAATAATGTCTTTTTATCCTAATAATGTATATCTATTGATGGAAAAGACAGAGATGGTTCTTTGTATTCTGCATACACAAGGAGAATTTGTTGCATTTGGAGATGGAAGACAATGTAGAGTAGTAATATGAAGAAATAGGTAAATCCTTTGAAAAAATCAGCAGTTTATATAATGTTTGGTATGTACAGACATTGAAGTATGAGGGGAATGAGCAATACAATAAGGTTTTCTAGGTGAATAAATATAATAAAGGGCAAGGTAATCAATTAACAAAACACAAACAAAAACCTCCTTTAAAATTCTAAAAAAAGTCTAAAAAAATCCTAAATTCAGAACAAGTAAATCAAAATTACTGAATTTATTAAATCTTCACAGAGAAACGAATTAATTACTTTGGAACAAAAAGTCTCCTCTTGCTCTAATTTGTTATTGTAGTTGACCACTTGAGTAATATTGTTGCAATAAATCAAAATATATGACTTTGTTTTTAATTTTCAAGTCTCATCCTGATCAATAAATGCTTTACATTAATTTGGAGATAGATATACAGTACTGGTAACCCTGGTTACCAGTAACTGGTACTGCTTCCTTATGACAAAAAAAAAGGCAGAAACAATCAGCATTCCTAGCAATTTTGACAAATTTTTGCTACATTTTTTTGAAGAAAACTATATGTGTTTAGCTGTGATCAAAGAAATAGATTGTCTAATAATATTGTTGCCAGAAAATAAACTTTGACATTTATAATTCATTTACCTAAAACAAGAATTATTATATTTATAAACTCCTCTTTTGCCAACAGATCACACATTGAAAAGCAGCTGTTTGAGTAAGACAACCCACTAACATGGGTTAATGAGATAATTTCAAAGTTATCCTTCAGTTTTGTAGAGTTAATGTAGCTCTGATTTAACTGTCTGTACTGTAGGCATCATTTAACTTCCAATTTGAAAAATATTGCACATCCTGGAAATAAGGTTAGAGAAGGCAAGTAAAAACATTTTCTTTGAAAATAAATTATAGACAGAAAAGACAGGTCATAAGTGCAGCTTGACCAATGAGTTGCTACTGGGCAAAGCAGATAGTTATTTATAGCAGTAGTAAAAATAGGATAAACATTATCCTGCTTGCAGCTATAAATATTGAGTCATTACCATAGAATCAAAGGCTCTATAACTATGGCAAGCCTCTTAAATCAACAGAGAGTACACAGAACCTGATAATCAGTGTAGAGATAATCAGTGATAAACAACTGGGAGCTGCAGACACCTCAAAGACAGACACATGACAGACATAACTGCAATACCACCACCTTCTTCTTTCATGGGAAGGTTTCATTAAAAACTGAGACATATGAAAGAAGGGATTTTACAAAGCACACTAAATATAGCTTCTTCAGACCTGACATTTTAGTTTTATCTGATTTAAGAGAGACTATTAATATATTTGACTTAAAGTATTAATCCACACAGTATAGCTGTACTTTGATAATATTATGCTATGCAGGATACATGTACATTAAATACTGATGATTGAATTGTTATTAAATTATGAATCTTTCAGGCCCAAAATTGCAGAAAATCACAAATTCCCAAGTATTAGGTTCACATCAACAGCCATAAAATAGCCCTAAAAAGAATTAATTGAAGTGTATTAATGAAGATTTTAATTTAGATGCATTGCTGCTTGATTTACTTGAAAGAAACTCTTAGTATGAAAATTGTTCTAGAAAGGCAGTACTAGAAATGGCTGTTCATCACAGTCATCATAACTGATTTGTTTCTGACACTGATGCTAAGTGATGTTTTCTCCTCTTTAACATCTGTACTTGATTGAGGCATCAAGCTTTCAGATATTTAACTTTTAAACACTCACAGTGGTTGGGCTTAAAGCAAGCACTAATTAAAAACAATTATATAATCAAATTGCCAGAAATGCTTAACATACCAAGATTTCAAACATGGGCACTTGGGAGGGAGTTAGGTTCTTTCATACAAATGTGATCAGCTTCTGGGATGATTTTAACATCTAAATGAAGACTTTAGATGTCGTCTAAAAAAACCGCTGACAGTCACTGATCAAACAAATTGAATTATTAATATTAGAATGCTTTATTAGTTGAAGATACATTATGCATTGCT